TAGTAGTAGTAGTAGTAGTAGTAGTAGTAGTAGTAGTAGTAGTAGTAGTAGTACTAGTAGTACTAGTAGTAGTAGTAGTGGATGTAGTTGCAGCAGTGGTTTTAAATGCATTAGTTGAAAAATAATAAAGACAATAACAACAACGACTTATAACAGCACCAGCGCGCACAACAATACTACAGAACGATACCAGAAAAAACCCAAACTAGAAAACAAAAGAAGTAAAGCAAACTAAAATAATACAGATAAAACCAAACATGCAGAAGAAATTTTGAACACGAACTGTGACTTAAGGCTTTCTCTTTTCCTTTTGCGCTTTACCGCCTTGGGGGGCTCTGCCTCCACTAAAGTGTTGGATCACACAATGCACCAAAATGACCCTTTAATACCACCCTTTGACAGTTGGCGTTCTCAATAATTCAGCCTCACGGTCAATATCAAATCCAAGCACGAGATGGCAGTCTGCGCAAGAGTTTATTAGCCAGACAAAAATAGAATGTGCAAATCAGGCACGGACTGGATAAATTGGCTTTTTAACTCCAAACCCAAGGAAAATCTGGCTTCTCTCTCTCTGAAAATGTTTTGGTAGACATGAAGAAATGGTCTTTGGTTTTCATCTGTCTGACGTTCAGCTCAGAATAATAAAATGATTCTGTCTGTTTTCTGTCGGATTCATGAATGCGTCATTTAGCTTATAGCAGTGTTACAATGGTAGTGTTCGGTTTGGAAACAAGGCAGACTACTCAAATACAGAAAGCGAAAAACGAAACCATTGTTTTGGTGCGTGCTGATGGCAGCAGTGAGTTCATGCGTAGGGGAAATGTCGGGCTTATTGGACACGCAACTCTCTTTTTTTACTTCTTCTAGAACTTTTGAGCCACGAAGGATAGACTATTTGCAGCTAGAGGCAAACATGTGTGCTCACTTACACACTCACATGCATATATACCCACGAACATTTCAGCAAATACATTCACAAACACACACACAAACACACACACACACACACACACACACACACACACACACACACACACACACA